CTAAATTAGGGACGGCTAGCGCAGATAGCCCTCGTGTAGCTTTGCGCGAAATTCCAAAAACACAAAAATATTTTCTTAAAGCAGCAGCATCCTCCTCATAGCTAACAATACTCAAAACTTTAATGTCATCAACAAATTTAATTAATCTATTGGCCAGTCCTTCATTTATGACATTGGTGTAAATCAAAAAGAGAAAAGGTCCTGACACTGAGCCCTGAGATACCCCATTCGTAATGTTAATCCAATTTGATGGAACGTCATTTATAACAACCCCCTGTTTCTTCCATCAAGCCAATTTTCTAATCAATGAGCCAACTTATCTCCCACACCCACAGAGGTAACTTTTTTAAACAAGACTTTTATGTGGCACTTTGAAAAATGCTTTTTGAAAATCCAAATACACCAAATCCACATCCATACCTTCATGCACATAAGCACTAACCTTTTCAAAAATGTCAAAAGATTAGTAAAGTAAGATTTTTCCCCTTGTGAAACCACGCTAACTATTGAACAAAATTTGATACTTTGTTAAATGACTTTGCAAAGCATCTTTTAGAAGACTTTCAAAAACTTTTTCCACCGCTGATGTAAGACTAGTAGATCTGTAATTACTGGGACAAGTTTTATCACCTATCGTTAAAAGAGGAGTAACATTAGCCACCTTCCAATCTTCTGTTATCTGCTTACTATTGAAGAACTTAAAATAAATAGTACCAAGTGGCTCACTCTCAAAACACTTGCGTAAATATTATCTCGTCCAGGAGTTTTGTCATTCTATAAACTTCCCAATGTTTTCTTAACAAGCTCAAAAATAATTTAATGATCTTATTCAATTTCAGTTGTGATTCTTTTTCATGGGTTAGCCTTCTATAAAATGTAATTATTAATTTATTTATATATACGCATATAAAAACTTGAATGCTTTCCATTTTTCCAACTGTTCTTTATTAATAACGAAAAGTTTTCGAGAAACAAATGATATAAGCTTTATCCTACATATCCATCTTGGAGTGACACCTTGAATTGTAGTATATATATATTCCACAGTTACATACTAATTATTAATTCGCAGTTATCCTCTGTTTCAGCTTCTAATCCACCATTGTCTTCAAGGAAAAAAGTCCTGAGACTATTTCTGTATTGTTAGTGGCAGATATCCTAGGACTTCTTGATTGAAGTTCCACTTGAGTCTCACCAATTTAGAGTTTGAATCAGCTAATTATTTGAATGTTTTCAAGAGGAGTATCCTCGATTTGCTGACTTCTATGGTATGTTGACTGCCTGTATTATCACTTAGATTATTAGTTAGTTATTAATATCTAGTTATATATTTATGTATGTGTGTGTGTGTGTGTGTGTGTTTCCTTAATTTTTGTAGCTGTGTTCAGAGTTTTTCTTTAATAAATTTGGCACTTTTCTCAAGTTTGGAGTCCATCAAATCTGAGATATTTTTATGGGTTTAAGATTTGACTTTGCGACGGCTGTTCCATTCGCTGAAAATCTTCACTGTTCCAATTGATAGATATATAACATCTCTTTCAGTGATGTTATAAGACTGAATCTCTGTCCAATGGGTATTTTAAAGCACGTGGTTTAAAGCCGAGGTAGTTTCCTAATGTTTTCTAACCCCAAGCAGTATTATATAAATATTTGACTGACTCTGCTAAATTGTATTAATTCTTTCTGTTTTGGAATTTCAATGGCAACACCACACTTTATTAACTGTATTCTACGAAAAAAAAAAAGAAAAGAAGATAACATCTATCATAGTCATAAATGCACCTCAATGAAAAACTGAGAATGTGAAAATCTCAAATTTTCAACAGTGACGAATCGCACAAAAATTGCCTTTTGTTTAGGTTTTTCATCTTAAACAACTTGTTAAGATCTACTGTACTTAATCAGTTATGGTTATTTGTTATTTTCTATCAAAATTTCAAATTAATTAGATGTGTATTATATCAATGTCATGGATAAAATGAGAAACTCGTTAATTTGTTTATTTTAATGTTTATCCTACATTTTGAACTACAGTGTTTTTCTATTTCATAGGCACCATAAACCAAAGCTATGGGAGCAAGGAGGTTTCTAATAAATTTGCACACCATCTTATATATATGTATATACAAATGTGTAAGTACTTAATAAATGACATTCGACTGTCAAACCTGGCTGTAACTAAAGAATGAGAGAGGTTCAGATTAATTATTTTTTTTTTCAATACCTGTTTAAGTTTGCTGCTACTAAAGGTTGGGGTCAAAATATTTCGAACACGTTTCCAGCTTTGACCCTTCAGGGAAATAAGTGCATCACTAGCCAGTCCTACTGGTGTTTGTCCTCCAGGAATTGTAGGCTATAAGAAACATACCATAAATCTTCCATGAGATATACATGGAAACATATTATTGATTGGAATAATGTAAGAATTCTTAAACAGTTAACGTACAAAGATAAATTGAAGAGGAATTTAAATAAAGATTTAGGCCCAGGAACCAACGAAATAATTTTTTGGAAATTATTGTTATAAATGGCGCCATTGTACATATATACTAATTATACACGTACCTTAGGTTTATAAGCAATGTTATGTGTACTTCTTGATGGATTCTCCTGAAGATGGTGGAATTATTTCCACCGAAACATGTGGTTTTAAGTTTCTTTTAACTTATATATATTTTTAATTTTTTGATCTTCATAAATAAATGATTGTGCAAGTAAAAAACGTTGAATTTCGTTTTATTATTTTATCTAAAATTTTTCCACAAGAACTGTCTGTTTTACGTATTAAGATATACATATGTCGTAAATTGAAATAAAACTAAACTTATTGTCATAATCAAGAATATATTCAGACAATAAGACATAAAACAGATCTTTCTTAACACAAGATATGTTAAAATCATAAATAATATTCAACGTTAAACTAGTACACAATTAAAAACATTTTATTTAGGCCTATCTATGGCCTTCAAAAAGTTGACGACTCTACATGTTCCGACGTTACAACGTCATCCTCCGGAGTGAATTACAAGACAATTGCCAAAGTATTTATATGTTGTTAATGTTTTTACTAATCCGGGTAATTTTCTACAAAATACAATATAAAACGTACTGATTTTTAAAGATAAAATATTTTTAGAGATAGCTTATATATTCGTAATATAAAATTAAACGTCTGTTATAAAAGATAAGTTTTAGAGTAATTATTTTATTACAAAACCGAAAAAGATAAACAACTCACAGGGCGATCTGCGAAGCTTAAAAACTCTTTGACTTGGATGTCTCTCAAAATATCAGGGTCGCCGATCGATAGTATTGGCTTAATTCCAAGGAAGTACCTAAAACATATACGAATTGATGTGAAGAAAGCATTGGAGTTATTATGACTCTTAAATATAATATTTTTGTAACTGATTTTATATTCAGTCATGATACGTATAATGATAGGAAAGATGTGATATTTATTATGTTAGATACAAACATACTCAACCAATGCAAATTACGTGATATTTATCATATTAGATACAAACATACTCACCCTACGCAATTTCCGTATTTGTTTGTCCATTCCACTTGACATCTTGTAAACCCCTAAAAGTGCAAAACTATGTTACACGGAAGCTGTTTAGAAATTACCATTTCTTTACATATTATTTACTCGAAAGGGGGACCGACGAGAGGGGTCACATGCTAAGGGGTGTTTAATGTTGCAATTTGTGCTGTCCTGACGTCAGTTAAACGCGCGCACGCCATGAATCACGAAAAGAATTATGCACTCTGTAGGCTATAACACGTCATGACATATGAACTTCAAAAGCAAGAAATTAAAATATTTGTTACTCGCAATTTTAGTTTTATTTTCTCTTGAAACAGAACACTTTCGGGGACCCTGCGGAAGTACATCTCGTTTATAGAAATAATTAATATGCTCCTTGATATTATTATTTGTCTATGAAATTTTCTTTATAACTTATTCGTTCTGCAGAAATCAGGGGAAAAGTATCTACACAAACATCTTACTAAAAATAATAATCCCACTAGATATGATATAAAAATAATAATCCCACTAGATATGATATAAAAATAACAATCCTGCTAGATATGATATAAAAATAATAATCCTGCTAGATATAATATAAAAATGATAATCCTTCTAGATATGATATAAAAATAATAATCCTGCTAGATATGATATAAAAATAATAATCCCACTAGATATGATATAAAAATAATAATCCTACTAGATATAATATAAAAATGATAATCCTTCTAGATATGATATAAAAATAATAATCCTGCTAGATATGATATAAAAATAATAATCCTGCTAGATATGATATAAAAATAATAATCCTACTAGATATAATGTAAAAATGATAATCCTTCTAGATATGACATAAAAATAATAATCCTGCTAGATATGATATAAAAATAATAATCCTGCTAGATATGATATAAAAATAATAATCCTACTAGATATAATATAAAAATGATAATCCTTCTGGATATGGTGTAAAAATAATGATCCTACTAGATATGATATAAAAATAATGATGCTACTAGATATGATATAAAAATAATAATCCTACTAGATATGATATAAAAATAATAATCCTGCTAGATATGACGTGTACCCATAGTTCAGAGGTACTTTTGTCAAATATTAGGAAAATAAAACAACACAGGAATTTAACCTAGTCTTTTATCTTACCTTATTGATATATTCCCGGAGATTACCAGTTATGAGATCAGGCTTAGGACCTGGTATACCCAAGTCTTCGAAAAATCTCATCTTCTTCCTTCGCCAGCTACACCATTAAAATAATCGTAACTGAATCAGTGTGTCGGATATTCAGCTTTGAATACATACTAAACTGATATGACTTTTGCGCTCCCTGTTAAACATATAATGAAACTACTACATGAACTAGTTGTTTTTGCTACGAAATAGCCTCTTCGAATATTTCTTTGTATCCTTAGAATAATTCTTGAAAATCTGGCGAAAATTGTCTATATTAACTCAGCAAGCAGTGAAATCGTGAGAATATCTCGTGACTTGTCTAATTTAACATTATTGAAAAATTGCTACGTTTTCCTTGTGTTAAAAAAAAAAACCTATATACTACTAAAACCTTTTCTATGATCTTTGTTTCTGTGTGAAATATCATGTCTTTGAGGTGAGGTTTCTCAACTTTCTTTAGTATTTTGGTTATAATAAGAAAGGAATGAGTTTTTGGTCTGATTTATAGTCTAACAAAATGACATTAAGTATTTTGCTTTGTTTGTTTGTTTAATCGGTTTTTAAAACACAAAGCTGTAAAATGTGCTATCTTATCTATGCTCACATTGGAAGAAACCCTGAATCTGAGCGTTATAAGTCTTCAAGATTACCCCTGAGGCACAGAGGTACAGTTCGGTTTCTAGAACGGTTTTAGTTCCACCAGAGTGAACGGTAGGCTATAATAATTCTGATGAAATTATTTCAGATGGAAGGTGCGGTTTTCAGTATGTCTTGTTAGCCAAGAAAGCAGAGAATACAGAAATTGATTATTTATATGCAAAGGATGTTGAGACCTCACCATATCATTAAAGTCTGTAGCACCAAGTCTGGCCATCTTTGATATGACAACAATGTGCTTTACAATACCCATGCAGCATAGTTTCACTGTAAAAGGATCTATAATCCATCAAGTGTGCTAGGAAGGCAAGTATGATTACATAGAAATCCCTAGGCTCTGGCAACTGGGATGATATGTCATTATATGGAATAGTATTAATGTCCCATTTCATTCTCCAGCTGCCTGAAGTATGTAACGATTCATCAGAAAGTATGACTAGAAGACTTATCTTGATGAACCAATAACCTTGTCACCCTCATTTTCATACACGAACCCTTCTTAATTATGTTGTACAATGTTGCCTGGGGCTTTTGCTGCACTTTGTTTACCACTATTGGGGGTATGACTTGTTGTATGTCTATTTCTGGATGTTCCTAGTTCCCCAGGTTGATCTACGTTCCTGGGTTAACGACTGTGTGGAGGCTGTAACCAATGATATTGTGCAAACAGCTTTCCTACTATCAACAAAAAAATTACATATAATTCATGGATTACTCTTCCATGGTGGGCATGTAACTGTCATAAGGAATGATAGGCTTAGAAACGGCATGTGTTACTTTTCGCAGAAAACTCCACTCTTATCAACAACACTTCCTACCAACAGAGAGTATTAATGACGGCAGGATAATCTCTGAGAGAATAGTCAGTGAAGAAGGGCTAGCTTGTGGCATGTGAGTCAGCTGGCACTAACTATGGCAAATCTCCTTAATTGTGATGGGAAAATTATAAAGTTTGTGATAAATCGGAGTTATATGGTTCTGTCCTAAAAGATAATGTATTATTAGAGCTATTATGATATAATATCACATCTATTAGTCATTAGAGTCTCATAAGCTTGGCTGGTATGTATCATATTAGGAAAGTAATGTAAAAACAAAACATAAAATACAGCCAGTTAATGAATTCACAATGAAGAAATATCACAGTGCATAACATACTAAATCACATTACTTATTTTTGTGTAACTGCGTTCATTTATAAAATATTCATATTAATATTTAAACATCAGACTTAAATTTATGCATTCTCTGCCACATCTAGCTTGTTTCAAAAGGTATTATTCATACGGTAATCTAAATTAAAATACTTGCCACACGCTGAATAATATTGTGTTGGTTTCTATTTATATATATCTGCTACTTAATATTTGGTAAATATTACCTGAAGCCTAATCTTATGTTAGACACACATGCACGATACAAAGTACGACTAGACATGGGCGTTAATCTTCAGGAACAGTTTAAATACGTCGAATAGTTTTCATTGAACATATTGGAACATGATTACATGGGCGTTAATCTTCAGGAACAGTTTAAATACGTCGAATAGTTTTTATTGAACATATTGGAACATGATTACATGGGCGTTAATCTTCAGGAACAGTTTAAATACGTCGAATAGTTTTATTGAACATATTGGAACACGATTACATGAGCGTTTCAACATATCGGAACATGATTACATGGGCGTTAATCTTCAGGAACAGTTTAAATACGTCGAATAGTTTCATTGAACATATTGGAACATGATTACATGGGCGTTTCAACATATTGAAACATGATTACATGGGCGTTAATCGTCAGGAACAGTTTAAATACGTCGAATAGTTTTTATTCAACATATTGGAACATGATTCGGATAGCCAAACAGTAAATTTGTAAAAGAGTTTGATCATATCGTTTAACCAATATAATACGTCTAAGACTAAAAATGCGTGTTTTGAAATGACAGTTTTGGTTAAAAGCAAACAAGTTGGTAAAACATTTCGAAACCCAATCTCTACATACGTACATTACTGTATTTTGTTTTGTTTTTATTATAGGTGTATAGGAAGTTAACAAAATAAAAAAATAATGTATCTGTAATTGGGACTACAAAAGAAAATCGTCAAATACGCCATACTATGACGCATATTTTATTTTTTTCCATTTTAATGTTCTCTTTTAAAGCTAAACATTTCATTACGTTGGATTTTCTTACAACTGTGCCCCCCCAGTGACACAGCGGTATGTCTGATGACTTACAACGCTAGAAATCGGGTTTCGATAGCCGTGGTGGGCAGAGCACAGATAGCCCATTGTGTAGCTTTGTGTGTAACTGCAAACAAACCTTACAACTGTATGTCTAGCAGTTCTAAACAAAATAACAAACAGCTAAAGTCACTTACTGTTATTCTATCGTTAAAGATTCTTAGAGAGAGAAAAAAATACACCAAGTAAAATTACTGTTAGTACAGACGAAGTCACTTACACAATATTGGAAATCAGTGTGAAATAAAACAGTCTGTCATTGAATTTATGAGGAAGAAATATAAGATGAAAGTGCATAGCATACAAAAATACCTAATATATTTTTGCATTTATTTAACACATAGTTAGTACAAGTGACAAACTGTAGTATTATTTTTGTCTATATCCTTTCCCCAAAATTAGTATTGGTATTGTTTATCAAGGCTTACATCAAAACTTAACAAACGAAGATGTGAAACTATGAACTTACCTGTACCAATAGGCTCCTAGAGAAATTAAAGCTAAGCTAATTAGAAGACTCAGAATCATTTTGTTTTCTTTGTGTAAGATGCTTCATTCGTTCGAGCAAGAATGATTATCTTTACACGAAATGAACATGCGTTCTTCCACGTACCAACAGGACACAGCTGTGGTCAAAGGTCAGCACAGTGAGATATGAGGGGCGGAGGACCGGCGTAATGTAGACGATACTATACATTCGTCTGGAAATTTGACACCACAATCAACCCTACAAACTCACCAAAATTAACACGTGCCATTAAGGCCGTGCGAAGGATGTGGCAGCTATGTCTAGTCGTCGTAGGCCTAGGCCTTTTACAGGCCCTAAAATTCTACTTTGCATTTTAAATTTTGATATTCGGTAAAAATATACGAATCGGCAATGTTCATTTCGATGTCACAATCCTTTTCTGTCTGTCTCTCTCTCATATCCCTGTCAAGAGGTCACTCATGTGGCCTGTCTTCTGTGCCACTGATTCCACAAGTCATCCAATTTTTAACACACAATTGTTTTTTTTTTAATTGTTGTCCTTCGAACTGCCTCACCCCCCCCCCCTTCGTAGCTGCAATAATGGGTCTTCTCGTTACAAATTCAGATCCTACTCTATTACGATAACAGTTGAAACTCCTCAAACTCAACCAGCTAGCCCCCTTGTGCAACATTGTGTTTAATAACAATCAAACACAACCATTTAAAAATTATATAATCATCAATATATTTGTTTCAAGAGATTTTAGCATATCGCTTTTTATTGTATTTGAAATTCAAAGTATATATATACTATTTGTAATATTTAATCTTCATCTTCCACTACTTTTAAGACACCAAAATTTATACGTTTATGGTGAGATTCAGTAATTTTATGGTTCAGAAGGAATAAATCAATGTATTGTGGATTTAAACAATGAATAAATGTTACATAATTATGTAATATCGGTCCTATGAAAATACTGCATTTATAACTAATTGTCGGCAATAAAGATTTTATTGAAGAAATAATTTGATATATATATATATACCATCTTGAAGCAAAAAAGGTTCAAAAAATTGTTCATTTTTTGTTTAAAATCAATAACCTTATATTATATGTCTCTGCTGGGCTCCTCCTTATATTATATGTCTCTCCTGGGCTCCTCCTTATACTATATGTCTCTCCATGGATCCTCCGTATATTATATGTCCCTCCTGGGCTCCTCCTTATACTATATGTCTCTCCTGGGCTCCTCCTTATACTATATGTCTCTCCTGGGCTCCTCCTTATATTATGTCTCACCAGGGCTCCTCCTTATATTATATGTCTCTCCTGGGCTCCTCCTTATATTATATGTCTCTCCTGGGCTCCTCCTTATATTATGTGTCTCTCCAGGGCTCCTCCTTATCCAAAATGTCTCTGCTGGGCTCCTCCTTATATTATATGTCTCTCCGACATATAATATAAGGAGGAGCCCACCTCCTGGACTCCTCCTTATATTATATGTCTCTCCATGGATCCTCCTTATATTATATGTCTCTCCTGAGCTCCTCCGTATACTATATGTCTCTCCTGGGCTCCTCCTTATACTATATGTCTCTTCTGGACTCCTCCTTATATTATATGTCCCTCCTGGACTCCTCCTTATATTATATGTCTCTCCATGGATCCTCCTTATATTATATGTCTCACCAGGGCTCCTCCTTATCCTATATGTCTCTCCTGGGCTCCTCCTTATATTATATGTCTCTCCAGGGTTCCTCTTATCTGACTGAGTAGTGGTATTTCACTATCACTCATATAACGCACCCATGGCCACAAAATATGGCTTACGATTTTGGGGCAACAGTTTGTGAACTATAAATTCTTGATCCTACACGTTAAGAAAGCTAACCACTCAGCCACATCCTGCCCAAAAACACTGTCACACAAACTGACAGGCTCGTCTTGTCCAGAACCTGCTGAGGAAACCCTTCAGTGCTGTGGTTGATTTCCTTCCATCCCACGAAGCCTGCTGCAGTGTCTTCTTAACGTTCTTCAATTAGTTATGGTTCCATCCAAGTGGCTTAGATCTAGTAATGATGACCTTATCTGCTTAAATCTTCCAGAGCTGTATCAATTGAAGCTCTTTAGCAATGTACGTAGAAATCATCTATTATGTCCGGATTTTCAAGATGTAAACAGCGCTGAGACCGCAGTAGCTAAATCTGTTATGATGGACCACGACTGTGCAATATCCACACTACTAAAAAAAGCTGACTATCTACGAAAATGATCCCTCACTCACTAGGCTGTAGGATGTGCTTTTGGACTTTTTTTGTACTCATCCTCACTTTTTTATTGAGTTTTTTTCGGATGTAGTAAAACTGACTTTAGGAGAGGTTAACAGTAAGTCCTAACTTACCTCAATAAATATGTGTATTGTAATAGCTTCTGCCGGCGGGACAGATATGTGTTACAAATAATATCTATTTAATTAAAATATCACGATCCAGTCAGTAGCAATGCACACAGGTTATTAACTCGAGGAGCGTCTTGTTAAAAAACTATTTAAGTATTATATCTAAGTGTTGGAATACTTGTAATACAGAAACATTTAATGAAGACATAAACTTCAAAGAATGTATAGTTTTTGTTGTTGTTGTTAATAAACATTTTTTTTTTCATTTAAGAGGACTTCTGACTCATTTTTATTCTCACTTAAAATACGAGCATGTCTTAACAACACTTAAATATGCTAAAAACTATAATCACCGAGAAGCTTAAACTTTCATAGTTGGTGTAGAAGAATTGATTTGTCGAAGGCTCGTGATAATGCAGCTTGGTGGAACCTCGATGCAGACTTTCTGTCCGACTAGAGATTCCACCTTGCCATGATTTTGTCAAGTTTATTGGAATGTGGAAAAGCAGCTTAGTGTCGCCACCTTCTCTGCAAGAACACGTGATTACATAGTGAACTTTGTTCACTAGATTTGCATCAGTTCACGAGCACTACGTTGCCCAATCCTAGAGTCCAAGGTTGAGCGCGGACTTTTATCCGCTACGTGCTCACTAGCGTCACTATTCTAATTTTCTGTCATCTTCAAGTTTTCTTCGGCCTCTTTACAAAACTGTTCCTTATCAAAGTTTGATAATAAACAAGATTACGACACTTATGATAAACAACATTGTTTATTAACAAAAAGGGTACATAGATTAATGTTTCGGAATTCTATCAGATTCCATCTTCAGTATCTAAAG